TCTTCCAGCGCCGGAGGGTGTCTTTTGGCTTCTGCAGCATCTGCCCATTTTCATCTTTGATGTTGATGACATGTCCTAGGTCTTGTGTGGCGCAGTCGCGTGCGCGGGCGAGTTTGTAGATTGTTTGCCCCAACAGGTGTGTCCAGCTGGTCATTGAGGTCCTGGTAGTGCGCCACCTTTGCAGTCGCCACGGTTCGCTTTGCGGTGGATTTCAGTGCGCAGTATCATACAAGATCGTCTGGGCATTTTGTCTGCCACCAGGTCTTGTAGGCGTCCTTTTTTGCCTTGGTTGCATGCTGTACATCGTCATTCCACCACCAGGTCTGTTTGTCAATAAAGCGCAGATTTGGTTTTGTGGTTCCCAGGGTGGTTGCGGTGCATGTCTTCACTAGCATGTCTAGCCGATGTTGTGGGGAGATGCTGTCTTACGGCATCACTTTGGTGTCGGTGACCATTTTGAGGTCTCGTTGTCTCACCACCCAGTAGTCGATCTGAGATGTTCGACCGCCACTGTAGTAGGTGATGAGGTGTGATTCCTGCTTTTTGAAGAAGGTGTTGGTGATGGCCAGATCCCAGGCTTCCGCGTGCTCCAGGATCTGGGTGCCGCCTTCATTACGGTTGCCGTGTCCTTGTCCGCCATGGTTACGATTGAAATTATCCTTTGCTCGGCCAACATGCCCTTTGAGGACTCCGCCAATGAAAAGAATTTCGCTGTCATCGATGGCTTGGATGTGCGTTTCGAGGTCGTGCCAAAATTTCTCTTTCTCCTTGTCTGGGCAGCCAGCCTGCGGTGCATAGCATGACACAACGCGCAGTGTGCTGGTTCCCATGCTGATTTTGGTGGACATGAGGCAGTCGGTGATTCAGGCTACTTTGGTGACGCTGTCCCGGATCCACTGGCTTACGACCACACCGACTCCATTTTGTGCCGTTTTCTTGCCGTGGTAGATCAGCTTATAGCCTTCTCCGATTTCTCTTGATTTTGCGCCAGCCCATTTGGTGTCTTGAACGCAGGCGATGTCCACTTTTCGCTCCTTCAGGGAATTGGCCAGTTCTCGGCTTCGGCCCGTCATTGTTCCGATGTTGATGGTCGCCAGCCGGATCCTTTTTGGCTGTTGCTGTTGTTGATGATGATGATGAAGATGATGATGGTGGTGATGATGGACTAGCTTCTTTAACTGGCTCCGTCCTTGAGTAGGTAGCTCCTGCCCATTTCTCACAGCGTCCGGGCGAAGACACTGCGCGTCGCCTGCGGGGGACACCCTACCATTTCCCATATGTCGTTGAGTTGTCGTGTGCATTTTGACGCAACAAGAAATTTTTCTTCAGCCGGCTTGTTGCACGGCCTGTCGCTGAAGTCCCTCCTCCTTTTGCAAACGGGCTTGGGACCGTCTATTGCGGAGTTACTGGTAGTTTCCAGTATTATCCTTGTTATATTTCATGCAGCCAGACTAAATTGAATTAACCTTAATTGCCCCCAAAATAATTTGTTTTGCACATCAGGAGCTCATAAACATATAATACGGATGACAATAACACAGTACAATACCATAATACAAAACAACATTCAACAAAGTCACTCAATCAGAACTCTTCCAGTACCAAAAGATTAAAAAAACAGATAATTAGCTTGTGAAGACTCTAAAAGCAATTAAGATAACATTATTCTACCTGCCAGCAAGTTTTCTGTGTTCAGAAATTAAATGCATTTACATGTAAAAGAAGTATAGTAGATGCTTTCTAGTAGTGCTCTCTAGTCTCTAGTTTTTAGTCTTTATAGAGGGGATCTTTAATCTCCTCACAGAGGGTAGGAGAGTATAGTTATAAAAAGAGTGGATGAGAAGAGACATCTAAGATTGTAGATCCCGACATACTGTAGTTTTGGTAAATATCGATATCACCATCAACATCATCATCATCATCATTTTACACACCACTGTTATCAGTCTTTATAATTAATTAATAATTGCTTAGGCTTATATAGTGCTTTTCTGGACACTCCACTCAAAGCGCTTTACAGGTAATGGGGATCCCCTCCACCACCAGCGTGCAGCCCCACCTGGATGATGTACTCTCACCACACACCAGCTCTCAGTGGGGAGGAGAGCAGAGTGATGAAGCCAGTTCACAGATGGGGTTTTTCGAGAAACACCCTGGGATTTTTAATGATCACGGAGAGTCAGAACCTTGGTTTTACTTCTCATCTGCGGGATGACACCTTTTTACAGTACAGTGTCCTCGTCACTATACTGGGGCATTAGGACCCACCCAGACCATAGGGTGAGCACTCCATCTAGGTACTGACCAGGCTCTCACCTGTTAAGGTTTAGTGGGGCTGTCAGTTGTGAGTTGCAGGGTCATATTGCTTCATATACAGTGCCTTGCGAAAGTATTCGGCCCCCTTGAACTTTTCAACCTTTTGCCACATTTCAGGCTTTAAACATAAAGATATGCATTTTTTATTTTATGTGAAGAATCACCAACAAGTGTGACACAATTGTGAAGTGGAACGAAATCTATTGGATTTTTGAAACTTTTTTAACTAATAAAAAAATGAAAAGTGGG